ATTGGCCATCATATATTGACCTTGATAAGATAAACGCATCATTCGCGCAATATTTGTCGCACTTTGATACCAAACTATTGCTTCCAAATGCCGACGTAAAGAAAACCTTTATGTGACGTCATAGAAACAGCGGATTTCCCAAAAAGTAAACAAAAATAAAAGTCTTATATCTCGAAAACGGGTGAATATTTTCCGGTAAAATTTGGTAGATGTTCATTTTCGCTCTTTGTGATTCACGCTACATCACTTTTATGCCAATTCATCAACTTTTTTGAAGGTGGGAGGGTCCCTTTAAATAAAAACTTCATTTTTCATCTTGTTTACGAATAGTTATTTGCGACGTCATGCGCGACCACGAATTAGCAATTGTGAACCATCGGAAAAGAAAAATGTGAGGGTTATTGATGGTCTTTCTAGACAAATTTGATAGACAATTATTTAAGGTTTTATATCAATTGTAAACTGGTATCTATCTCATACTTGTTAGTGTCCCTTACTAGCACTCACAAAGCCAACCCAATGCGAGTATTTCGGTAACAGTCCACAGATGTAGTGATTGCATAAATACAGACTGAGGCAATTGCAATGCTGACTTGCCAAAGTTGAATATACTAGGTAGCTGATGCCAGCCAAAACATTAAACGTGCTCACTACTTCACTAGCAGTTTCATGACTTTAAAAATAAGTTTATCTTACCTGGTGGCTGGAGCAGACTGTGACAAGTTCCTTGAATCGATTCAAAATGTGGCGTTACCTTGAATCGACTCAAACTCTGACTCAAGTGGCCTATCCATATGTGAATCGACTCGACTCATGATTCATTAAGCTTTCAAATTATTTGATTCGACTCAACTCATGACTCGAAGAAAAACGACTGATTCTTGAGTCGATTCATGATTCAACTCTGAGTCGTATACAACCCTGGCAGCGTTAGAAAGGTTCCTATCATATTCCAATAATGTATTTCACCTGTATATTCGCACGCATTATATACAGCTGCTAAGTAAATATGGATGTCACACGACAGAAAAGTCAAAATGACAGCTTGACTCGTTACAAACATAACCAATCAGCCACGAATGTGCACTAACGCATGACGTCCTGATCTGAAGCTCCGTGCGGTGAGCGCTCAAAAGCTCAGCTCACACCATTCCGTGGCCCCCATCGTACAGACTCAACCAGTCTCGCTAGTCACTACCTCCACTGCACTAGTTTTGCCCAGCTGTCTCAGAGTGGCGAATGAGCGAGCTCTGAACCGCGTGTAAATTGTTGGTCGTTGTCGTAAGAAACACCATGCCAGGCGACCCTGAGCGGTTCCCTTAATTACGTTATGATAGCACCTGCTCATTATTAATTAATAATGCCATGGATTTTATGGTTTTCATTCACGATCATCAGCATAGCTCCACAACCGATCGTTAGTTGCGCAACTCCAGCTTGTCAATATCGTATGAAAGCCTCATCATATGAAACCCGAGACACCATTTACTGTCGCATCGCCGACGGCAGGATGACTCTCTTTCTCACCCCCGGCGCCACGCTGGCGACCGGCGACATCAGCTGGCCGCTCCCCTGCTCTTCCTCCTCCGGCTCTCTCACCAGGCACACCACCAGCAGCATGAAGCCAAACCCGAACAGAATGGCTGCTAGCCGGGCCAGGCCGGGACCCGGCTTAGCTCGCTCTCCCTGGATTATCTCAAAGAGGACGACATACAAGATTGTGCCGGCGGCTAGAGCCTGCAGTACAGCTGAGGGTAGCGCGTGGCCGGCACCGCCGCCCGCAGTCAGCACAGCGCCCAGTATCACACCCAGCGGAGAGGCCACCACGAACCCGGCCAGCGAGGCCAGCGCGCGGCGCCGATTGGTCAGCGATGAGGCCAGCTGCTCTCCCAAGCAGAAGGCGATGATGGCCTTGTGGGTGGCGATGGCGGCCGTCAGCAGCCACACGCTGGGCTCGGAGGGCTCCAGGCCGATGGCCACGCCCTCGAACACAGAGTGCACGGACAGCGCGGCCGTCACGATCAGGACGCGGAACGAGGCCAGCCCGGTCTGACCGGCGGCGGAGGCTGTCGCTGTGGTCGCCGCTGCGCTGTGGCAGTGGGTGTGGCCGTGGACGGGGGTGGCCACTGGCCACACCGTGTCCCCAGCAGCGGTCGGTCGACCGGAGACAGCCCCGTACTGGCGCTCCGCCGGCGGCAGCAGGGCGCTCTCCATCCGTGCGTCATACAGCACCCTCTCCTCGTCCTCCTCCTCTTCTTCCTTATCCTCCTTCTCCCTCCTCTCCGTCCCTCCGCGGGCACAGAGCAGCGCCAGCTCCTCCAGTAGGTAGATACCGAACATACCCACACAGAGCAGCAGCTCAGCCAACGGCAGAGTCGGCTCTCCACCCAGCGCTGTCGTCAGGCCCTCCCGCACCTCGGGCAGCATGTGGGTGAACACGGTAGCCAGCAGAACTCCTCCGCCCAGACACTGCAGACAGGATATGGCCAGCCGGGCAGCACCGCCACCGCCGGCGGTCTGACGTCGCTTCAGACAGGCGGTGAGCCAGAACGGTAGCAGGCCCAGCGTTAGAGAGCTGATCAGCAGCAGGCAGAAGGCGCCCAGCTTCGCCGACTGAACAGACATCGCGGCGAGTATGCAGAGAGGATGGAGACGGCAGAGACGATGGAGACGGTCGATGTGATAGTAGTAGTTGTTGATTGGCGATAATCGGTGGGCTTCGTATCACCGAAGTACGACGCAGGATGTCGCGTAAGAAGCACACTCCACGACGTAGAGATTGTTTCACGTAACCGACACCAAATGCTCGTCACGGTCGGAGCCAGAGCCCAAGGCAGACACACGATCTGAATTATCCAACCAAACCACTCAATCAAAGCAGAGTATGTGAGTGTCTGCTCCACGTCGCACGAGCCCGGCGACTCTGTCTCGACCTGGCGGCCCCTGCTGCGGTGTACAGTGACAGTGACAGCAGCACTGAACACTGACAGGGACGGCCTACAGACCCCGTCCGTCACCACTGACAAATGGCAGGTGCAGAGCCGCGTACGTGTCTGTCCGACAGAGGCCTCAGGAGCGCTGTCTACCCCAGCCACCTTTCCCACACACGGACGTGCCAAACTATCACTCAACAGGCAGGACAAGCAGTAACAGTAGAACAAAGACACCAATCACATCTGGATCCGAAGTCGAACTCGAACCAGACGGATGGGAGAGGCCAGATTCGTCTGACAGCGGTGTCCCAGGCAGAAGTTTTGTCAGATGTCTGGCAACTAAGGTAATTCCCAGACGGTAGTTATGGCTGGGTGTCTTGAAGCCGGTCACAAAAGACGGAGATTTCTGCGCGACGTCTGTTTCCCGACTCGGTCTTTCAGCCGGTCACAAACAACTGATTGGCCGTGCCTAACACACGGTATGTAACACCACACTGCCTACCGACAGCCAACGGCAGCCAGATGTCACCATGGCAACGGCGGCGGCGACAGAGACAAGGGCTGTTCACATCTCTCCAGGTGCTGCCAGCCGATATTCACACCCAGACTAGCATCGGCCTCAAGTATCATCCACAGCCTATATATACACAAGTGAGCAGAAGACACACTCGAGCAGACTTGGAATGAAATAGGACACGACCCGGACCTGACTGGCACTGGATGGCGTGCTTCGCCGAGTAACGAGCTGCAGTTATAATTGTTCTGGTGCACAAATAAAGCAGCACCCTTTACGAGTTGTCCAAATGTGCCATATCGCCCGAAAGCCAACGAAATATTTCAGCAAAAATGCATGATGTTCATGTTCTCGGGAGCAGAGCATGTAGTAATTGTTTGTTCTGCTCTCACTGGTTTAACTCAGTTCACTTTTCGATGAAAATTGGTGAAAAATCAGAGCATGAAGGCAAGCTTCTCTGCTATCATCGTATTAATTTAGTATAGACTGCAGCTATCCGCAATTTCGACTGTGCCGTGACTCACCTACGCCATGTCACAATTTTTGCCCTTGGGTCAGTAGCCGGAAAAATTTAGAGAAGACACCCAAAACAACAGAGCACAAGCACTAAGCAGTTTCCTGGCGCTTGGTGAATTATATCAGTGGCTTGCTATTTGGGTCATTTGAATCATCCTTTAGCTACGGATAATGAAATCACAAACTTGCGATGACCATTCCTACGGCCCTTGGTTAGGTATTCCCATTCCAGCCCGCGGACAGAATAAGTATTCTAGCCACAGTTCGATAAACCATACGTATAATAGGGTTCCGGCATAGCAACGTGAAATGCCTATTGATGTTGCGATCAAATCAAACATGACTATAAATAAGGCATTGCGGGTCGTCATGTCACAGAACAAGTTGCAGTGGGTGGCCCCGGGTACTTCCGTACCGACCCACCCGTCACACCGACCGGTCCCCACTCGTCGGTGCAGTGACCAGTACCATTACAATGACCTTCAGTGAACGGAACTGGTGGCTCCGAGCGACCCCCGTCCAGTATGGCGGCCCCATGTGACCCACCTCGAGCCAGTGGTACCGGTCCCACCGGTCTCGATGCTAAACTAACAACCGGTCCGGCCAGCGACACGGTGCCACCAGGGACAGGACGGGTCAACGAGCGATACTGGGCGCATTGGGGTATTTGGATATCGAGCCATCGGAATAATCCGGGAGTTGGATAGGTCGACTACCGATTCTAGACGCATTGTGTTTGGATATCGAGTCACCGCAACAAGGGGGAGGGCGCACAGGCAACTGAAAACACCACCATGTCAACATAATTAACGGTAATATAGTTCGACCTCAGCTAGATACATCAGCAGATATTGTCTTGAAACATCATGCAGTCTTTAATCCCTCATTTTTCTCCATTCCATCCGCATTCCGCAGCTTATTGCAACCGTAAAACTTCACCCTCCTAACTCAACCTGTCGTTTCCTACTACCCCACACTCTCCCAGCCTCCTACCTTAATCTGACCTGACCCATCTAATACACAATCGCCCCTCTGACCTGACGGGAGCCGCCTCGTCGCTGGGCAGTTTTCCGTCGGCTCCGCCGGCCTCGATCCAGGCAAAGTGTCCGGACCAGGTGAACCCGCCGGCCACTCGCTCGGCCGGCTGGTAAGCCAGGTCCGTGTCCCTGATGTTGTCGATCACGGGGCAGACCAGGGCGTGAGGCTCGTCTTTGATCCGCTGCAGCAGAGGCTCGATCCTGGGAGGGGGAGGGGGTCAGGTTAGAGGAGTTCGATAGCGCAAGACACTGAGACGTCAGACTGGCAGCGTCTGGTCCCATACGATAGAGGTTTTTAGTAAGTCCAAATGAACTCGGTCTCGGACATTTATTTTACTACAACACTTGTCTTTGTGACAAACTATTAAGCTTGAACAAGACAGTATTTGATCTGGGAGAATTCGCTCACACGATGACAGGCCCAACTTACATTTATATGACTAGCTTTGATTCCCTTCTGACCAGTCATCACTCAATGCTGAGTGATGGTCAGCATTGATCAGCTAACTCTACCGCAGCAATTATCAGGATTGCTGCGCGAGAGTTGAGCAGTCCTGCACTAATCAGACACCGTGGGACTCACAATGACCAGGTATCACGCAGGTATCACAACGGACCAAGTATCAAACGGGCATCACACTGACTGACCAGGTATCACAGGGCTCCACGTGCGAGTCTAGGAAGATGAGCACGGGTCCGGACGCCTGCTGGGCACCCCAGTGTCGGCCTCTGATCAGGCCATGTCGCTCCTTCAGTCGGTGTAGCGTCACCTTGGACGGCAGGTGGTCAGAGACGTACCGCTCCAGCGGCTCGCCAAGCTCCGCTGTGAAAAGGTCATGGCACAAATGGGGTATCAGAGTGATGTGAAATTAGAGCTGCAATAGTGACAACATATAAGGGCAAATAGAAAGAACGACACACATGAAACCATGCAGATATCACACATGACCATTATTGACCTATAACATACAAAAGAGCACCAAAACTCTACATAAAGCCATGCAAAAGAAAATGTAAGTAAATATCCATGTAATATATCATTATCAACCTTCAATAAAACGCATCATGCGCTGAATTCACATTACCAGCAAAGCAAACAGCAGCAGCCCCAACTTCGAGATCGTCCAGTCCCACCTCCCTGGCCCTCAGTCCCTCACAATTCCTCCTCCCTGATCCTCAGCAGCTCACCCTCAGTAGACCCTGACCCTCATCCCCTCTTCTCCCTGCCTCTTCGTCTCCCCCATCCCCTCCCAGCTCACGCTTGGTGCTCGCGTCATCGATGAGCAGAATCTCGTACAGCAGGTGGGCCGGAGTGCGGGCCAGCACCGAGTGGACCGATCGCAGCAGTGCCGACCACACCTCGTTGTGGAAGTTGATGATGATACTGGCAGCAGGCAGGTCCGTGTCGTATGTCCGACCGCGACACCTGAGGGCGAACGGAGAGGGTGAAATCATGGATGAAGTATTCCCCTAATCCATGGTGAAATCATACCGGCTGCCAATATACCGGCACTGGTCAATGTTTCACTTATAGTACCTACCATGACTTATTACTTATTATACAATGGGTACAGTACGTTAGCTATTGACATATTGCTCCAGATTCAGACAGGGAATATTGTTTCAACGAGAAACTCAAACCACCAAATTGTTGATCGAAACTCGCTAGGAAAAAAACTTGCTAGGTTTGGGTCGATCAAAAAGACGCAATACACCTCTGGCATCCTAACTGCAAAGCATTCCATTCTAATAGCACATATGACCAGACATGTGCACGGATCCCAGACAACCAATCACGGAAATCGAGATGGCCATTAGATTGACGGTCTTCAAGCATGAAATTATGGTGGAAAACATGGCTCATAGAAGCCTCTCAATGAACCAACTATTTTGCATTCCTTCAGGGTTAACAGTTCTGAGAAAATCCCTCAAGATCCATCTCGGATCCATGATTCGTGGCCATGGATCCGAGATGGATCTTGAGGGATTTTCTCAAAACTGTGAACTATGAGGGAATGCAAAATAGTTGGTTCGTTGAGAGGCATCTATTAGCCATGTTTTCCACCATAATTCCATGCTTAAAGGTAGTGTGCCAGCTTTCCTGGACCATATGGAGTTAATGACCCGGATAAGGAGAACCGGATTTTTAGAACTTATCCATACCTTCAAAACTTATGGAAACGTCTTAAATTCTTCAAATTTTGAGTACCCCAGTGCGAAATTCGCCCCGACGGGTTGTCGGTCGTACCCCAACCACATTTCACACCACTATGAACAATAAATGCACACACTAAAATCGCTATTACCGATAGGCTCATCCAATCAAGTTTCGATAACCCGTTCATCATCATCTCCTGCGGTTTCGAACACGCCTGTTAGGTGGCTTCTGATGCTCGTCGAGGTCGGAATTTCCAAATACGCGTGGTGCGTCGGGCCGCGCGCTCTGACTTCGGCCAAGAAAAATGCGTCAGCTGATCATTGTCATTTCTGCCACTTGCGTGTGGTGTAATGGGGTCATAACTTAACCCTCGCATGTGTGCGGCGTTTGCCAGCTTCTAATGTGTAGGGGGGGGGGTCGGTTGGACCCCCCCCTTGCCGTTTGGCCCCTGATCGAGCTAGAGCTTCGCGGAAAAAACGAGCGTGTTGCCCGTGACGAGAGGAAGCCGATGATACCCAATTTTAAGGTCCTAGGTCATTGGTTGACCTTCCAGGTCAGGTCAATGACCCAAAGTCGGGAAAATCGGGACCTGTTAGAAAGTCGTAAAGTGTGGCTGCTAAGGGGTTTTTCGGGGTGCTGATCACGAATATCGTGTTAGTTTTGATCACAGGTGATGTCTTGAAGCATTTAGACCAGGTCGGGTCAGGTCAGGTCAACCAGTAGGCGTCGTGACGGGTATTCGTAGTACGTGTCAACCGCCTCTGACAGCTTCGTAACATGTTACGAAGTCACCAAAACTACTTCGTAAATGTTCAAATGGTTGCTAAATTCGAATTCAGCTCCAAAAACTAGCCTAGAAACATGTAAAACTCGAAAAAGTGACCCGAGGTCACCCGAGGTCACCAAAGGTCAATGACCTGACCTGACCTTCAGGTGACCTTGACACACACGGGAGTAACATCAAATCACATGTTTGAACGTTTGAAACCACGAAAAGCTTGCAAACACGCGGCTAGTGCGAGCCGACATACGCGAAATCGCGATTCCGGCCAAACATGGTCTCGGAAAAGAGGTCACAGGTCAAAGGTCATTTGGGTCAGGGTCATGAAATTTTCAGGGTAGGTGTCAAATTGATCAATGCGAGGGTACTGAAAGTTTCGTCGCGATCGGCCGCTTTTTACGCGAGTTATTCGCGAAAAACCATGGGGGGGGGGTCCATCCGACCCCCCCCCCCCCTACACATGCGAGGGTTAAGAGACGGCTGTTTCATATCAATTATTTTACATAAAATCATATTTCAAACCACAAATTAATGTTCGACAGCCAAATTTAAGAAACAATACCAATACAGGCTTACAGTTTAAGGCTCGACATTGTGTTGTCTACGATTAGACAGCTGATAACTCATTCCCGTACGTCGTATGGTCGTAACACTATAATGACCTTTGCTTATTGTCACAAGTGCGCCGCATTCGCGATTGTTGCCCGACGCCTGTTTGCAGGTGAGCCCACTACAGTTGTTATACATATCTAAAAACCGATAAACTTTTAGGCGAAAAAGGCAGTATTCCAGGCCCATTTTTGATTTTTTTTTTTTGCGATATTAGGTAAAAACAGAAGCTTCTTATCCTAGGAAAAATAAAACGGGAAATCTTTCAAAGGTGGCACACTACCTTTAAAGTCCACTAATCTAGTGGCCATCTTGATTTTCGTGTTTGGTCGTCTGGGATCCGTGCCCATGTCTGCATATGACTCATCGCATAAACCCGCCGCCGTAAGCAGATACCGACCACAGTCCATCTGTCCCCCGATATCCCTCGGCGGTGATGTCGTCCCACTCACAGCTGCGGCCGCACATCGGGCAGTCGGCGCACGAACGGCACCTTATCACTGGCCACAACATTGAAGCCTTCCTGCTTGTACAGCTGATCAGCTAGCCGTCGCTCCTCAGCAGTCAGCGCCACGGGACGGCCGAGGTCACCGGCAGCCGGGTCCTGTTGGGTGACGGCCGCAGGGCCGGCCCGGTCACCGGCCGGCTCCCAGAGAGAGGGGCAGAGGAGAGCCACGGCCACCGCTACGGCCACCGCTCCGACGGCATGCACGGCCAGGCTACGGCAGGAGAGCCGGGAGGTTCCCGCAGACTGGGAATCTGGTGGGCGGGAGTGATAGTCAGAGCCGGGCTGGCAGTGTGCAAATGCATAGGTACTCCACAGCTGGGACTAACAACTGCATAGTGCAGAATGATGTCACAGTCGAGCATACTGGGTTGAGGGTAAAACATAACCCGCACCGAGCCCGGGAGTTGACCTCCACCCCATCCCCCACCCCAACCCCACCCCACCCATCTAACTTGGCTCCTGGACCCAATAGCGACACGCGGTAAGCGGCATTTGAAAAAGTGTAGAATATTAAGACGAAAATGCTTGTCATTTATAGGTCGGGTAGGTCAGGTCAGGTCAGGTCACCAGAGGCAGCACCGATAAAATTTTGTTTATTTCAACGTTTTTCGACAAACAGCCGCATAACTCGGGAACCAATAAAGCTACAATGCCGCGAAAAAGCGCATTCGGTAGCTCTTTTAACGCTCTTTCTGGTACCGCTCTCAAATTTGACCTAAGATCAATGGTGTAGCCTCCGGAGGGCAAACACTAGAAAAATAGTCGTTTTTACGATTTTTCGGCAATAGCTTTGGACTCAAGAAAGGCACATTTATTTTGCCACAATCGTGTTCCTTTCGTCGAGGCGTCGAATGCACTATAATTTGTCCGTAAAAAGTCATTTGGAAAAGTTGACCTAAGGTCAAGATCATGACCTCACCAGAAAGGGTCATGTTGCATATCCGTCGATCCGTATTGTCGAGCGAGCGAGCACATCTGAGGTGTTTTCATTGCTCAAACATGCCTCTATCAAAAGATATTGCCAAAAAAAACTGCTGTGAACCTTTCATGACCTCAGATGACCTCAGGGACAAAATGAGAGCCAAAAATGCAACTTTCTGATTCAGTGTATCTTAACCCTCGCCGGACCTATTGGTTTTCTACATACGCGCCGGCCGAGGGGGGGGGGGCGGGTACGACCCCCCCCTCGCCGTTTCGCCCCTGGTGGAGCTAGCGCGTCGCGGAAAAAAACGAGCGTATGCGCCGTTACGAGACGCAGAGCTTGGTACCCGATTTTAAGGTCCTAGGTCAACCGGTGACCTCTGAGGTCAGGTCAAGTGCCCCAAGGTACGGTTCAGTTTTTGGTGAATAACTTCGCAAAAAACGGCCGCAGAGCGCTGATTTTGGCAGCATCGTGTTCGCCTCGCTCAGGCGCGTCGAATGATATACTTTTTGTCCGGGTCAGGTCAACTTGGGGTGTTGACCTCAGGTCAAGGTCAGGTCAGCACCCCCAGGTCACGAAGTTGGTCGAAAGAGGTCATGTCGCATATCATTCGATTCGGCAGGCCTTCCTGAGTCCATTAATGGCTTTCCCGACTCGCTAGCTCAATTTGATCAAGAGTTATTGACGAAAAACTAATATGACCTTGATGACGTCATAAATGACGTCACGCAAGGTCAACATTGCAAAAGTGACGCATCTAACCTTGCAAGGAGTGCACCAAATCACGATTCTGTGTGCTTGAGATAGTTAGAGATCGTTGCCGGCGCCAGAATAGCAGTTTTCATTTTTCCCCATTGACTTATAATGGTGAGGTCACGAAAATGACCTGACCTCATATGACCTTTAGGAAAAATCTGAGATATACAAGTTGTGGGACTCATAATGGATACTAGATCCTGCAAGTTTCATTTCCCTGTGACATCTCCTCTGGCAGTGAGGGCGTTGGGAAGTTGCGACATCTGAAGACCGTGCAGAGGTTCACTTATGACGTCATAGGTCAGTGACCTGACCTGACCCAAAAATGCGATTGGTGTCAAAAGATCGGGCTTGGATCAAAGGTCAGGTATGCCAAGTTTCAGCTCTCTATCGCCAGCGTGTTCGGAGCTATCGCGAAAAAACCCTATGGGGGGGGCGGCACCCGCCCCCCCCCCCTCGGCCGGCGAGGGTTAAGTTTGCCTGTATCTCAAATCTCAATGTCTCAGTGTTTAGAATGATGTGCATCCAAAAGAGGTTTCTTTCATTTTTCCCAGTTGACTTAGGTACAATGGAGAGGGTACAAAATTGAACTAATCTTAGGACATTGATATCCAAATTCTAAGATATAAGTTTTACATATACTGTTACTCCGATCCATCCCTGAAAATTTCAAGGTGATCATTCAGACAGTGCAGCTAATTTATTTTTTCTAAGATGAGGTCACTTGGCGTGACCTTGACCTGGTGACCTGATCTTAAGCAGCCAGGGCCTAAGATTTTTATGACATGTGCAGAAGAGATGCAGGAGCAGGTGTGCCCAACCACTGACTTTCAAGATAAAAACAAAAAAAAATCTTCAGACAGTCAGTGATGAAGCTGAATAAGAACTTTGAAGTTTGACATTGGATGGCCGTTCACGGGCACCGCACACTGCTGCGTGCGGTGTGTGCGGTGAGTCCAGCAGGCGTGGGGGTAGGGGATGGGTAGGCGGTTCTGACGTCACGGCTGCGTGCGGTGGACGTCTTCCTGTGGCCAGTCCCGACCGGCCACAGCGGTCGCTGTGTGCGGTGACGGAAGGCTGACATAGGGACGCAGTGGGCGGAGCTTGGAGGCTGTGTGCGGTCCGACCGCACACAGGGCCCGTGAACAGGCCTCAGAGTAAAAGTGCAAGCTTATGGACAAAGCTCTACTGTAAAGACTGAAAAACAATAAGATGCTTGATCCATCAGACTCTGAAGAAGTTCCAGCAACCAAAAGTTTGCAAGCTGTGAATAAGCTTCCCCTCCGCCCCATTCAGGTGGAATGGAGTGTGCAAGACCCTACTCGACCAGTGGGATGCCAGGAATGCTTGAACAACCTTCCCGATAATGACAAAAGCTGTAACAACTGCATAACAACCGTCCCGAGGTTGTCCCACTAACAGGATCCATTTCTCAGGCGGTATTTATTTACTTTAGGTCCGCAAAACAGAGGGGTAAATAAAAGTCATTCACACGATACTCTAAGACCTCCTGATTTCATTTCTGATACTTATTCCTTCTAGAAACCAATTTAAAAGCACCAGTACACTAGTATCACCAGTATCACCACCAGGCACCAACGGCCCCACCTCCGACCGGAACTGCACGTGTCAAAAGACCGTCTGCGCGGCGCACCCGCTACAAATGGTCCAACCAAGGTTGAGCGAAATTACGGATGATAATAAATTGTAAGGAGAGTGACATCAAAATAATCGTGGCGGAGCGGTGCAGTGCCGAAGGCAATGCCTTAGGAGTTTTTGCCCCAGTAGGCAAACATCAGTAGGTCAGGTTAGGTAAGGTTTGGTTATGTTCTGATCATTTTCTCATGCTCTATTACCTTTGCTAAATATTTTCTCTTTTTTATTCACCGTTTTTCTTGTGCTTTGGTATTATGACGTCATTTTCATGACGTCGAAAACTAATGAATGTCCGCATCATTTTTTTCTTTTATAGGGCAGCGTTGTATGTTTCGTTTTTGTCGCGGAAGCGTGCTTTCTTCAGTGTGTATTGTGCAGCAGTGTGGTGTAATGTGCTGGGGTTTTGTATCTTATTTTACATTTTTGATGCATTTAAGCATCATATCTGAATTCAGGACATCAAATAGTGTAAGAATGTGCATTTTTTCTTGTTAAAATAATATTGCGGACCTAAAGTAAATATTTACCTCTCAGGCTGCATCAAAAGAATTTCTCACTGGAACACTTCTTATGCAACCAATAGTATTACCCAACCACTGGAGCATGGCCCCCTGGATCCACCAGTGGAAGCATGGTGTAGGCGGGCTATAAGCATGCCGCTCAGGAGATTTGAGTCTTGAGTTACCAATACATTGACATGGAAATTACACCAACGATGTGATCAAAAATTGAAATGCCAATGATGAAAATAGCACACATATTCTATCTATTTATATTCCAGATTGGGGCTTTGTTTTGAAGCAGAGGTGGATTTTGAGTGAATCAGAATGGTTTATTGCTGCTGCAAGAACAATATTGAAAATATGCTAGGTATGGCAAATACAAGGCAGATGTGATCAAGAAAACAACTATCATTCTGCTTCAGTTAACAGTCATCGTATAAACCTCGAATATATAAATAAATAATAGCTTACTATTGATGTTGCTCCTCGATCTCCGTGCAGTTTGTTTTTGTTTCCCTGCCATGGCGAACCTATACTCTGAAATATTGTCAGTGATGTTACGTTTCAATTACTACTTTCACTTCTCACAAATGAATAAATCCCTTGAACATCAAATAATCACGACAGGAACCGGCGAAACGCCACAGAAGAGCCTCGTAGCGAAGGCGATGCGCGAACGAGCGAGTCGGGGGGGAGCCGGTTTCTTTTGGCGGCCGGCGCACACATTTGTTTACAACTTTAAGGGCTGCCAAATCGAGAGAATCTGGTAGCTCTTTGCCGACCAGGCAATGAAGTATTTTTTCGGGTAAAGGCATTTCTGGTATAAATGTAAATAGGTAGGTATGTGTGTTTGGGTATGCCGTATGTATATACCTATAGTAGTAGCTGATGTTTTCATTAGTTATTGTGGTAGACTCTAGACTCATCCATATCAGAAGTCTTAACCCTCGCCCGTAAACGGCGATCTGCCACCTTCGCCCATGCAGGGGGGGGGGGGGTTGGTGCGACCCCCCCCCTTGGCGTTTGAAAACGGAGCGTCGTAGAGCTTAGCGGAAAAGACCAACGGATTGCTCTCGCCGAGATCTCGCGATTGGTGGTATATTTTTTGGTCCTAGGTCAACATTTGACCTACTTTTGACCGGTCAAAGGTCAAATTTTCGGAAAAATAGACTTTTTCAACTTTCCGCGGCGATTGCGGCAAAACGGTGGGAGATATCGACTTGAAACCTTCACCATCGTGTTCCTTGATCAATTCTCTATCGTTTGGTATGTATTTCGTTTCCCTAGCTCTAAAAATGGCGCGTTGGGAGCGCCGGAAGTCGGCAAGGTCACAGTCGGCGGCAGAAATTCGAAAAATCAAAATTTAAATTTTTGAAATCTGATTGTATTTTTGGATTTGGAAGGTCCATTTGCTCCCTATAGAAGCTAATATTGCTGCATATTCCCATTGAGGTGACAAGAATTAGCAAAATAGTGGTTCGGGCGCTTTTCAAAAATAGTACCGGACGCTGTTCCTCTTGTGACGTCATGGCTCCGTGACCTGACCTGACCCGGTCAAGTTTCTTATACCATATGATAGCCAACAGGGGCGGATCCAGGAAAACTCCAAGGGGAGGGTCATGAATCGAAGTGGTGCCCCTACCTATACCCAAAATTAAAAACTCAACGGATTTCGTCCACTTCATTTTGGTGGTGCCCCCATTTTCAGTTTTTTTTCTTTTTATTTTTTATTTTGTCAGTATCTTAACTCTTAGCCACAACCACATTTACCAATTGTAAGCAAGTATATATGAATGTGCTATGTGCATAGATGCTATGTGTATATATGTTGTGGACGCTGAGTAGTGAGTACTTACCAGGAACGGTATCAGGTAAGCAAATCGTTGTCAGTCCGACGAACTTGACCCTGGCGTCTAAAGGGTCTGTCCTTGACACTTCAGGCTTGTCAGGGGCACCAACGTCCTTCCAGGGACACCACAAACCTTTCAGGGGCACCTACGGCCTTGTAGGGGCGCCACAGGCCCGCCAGGGGCACCACAGGCCTGCCAGGAAGTAGGGGCACCACAGGTCTAGCAAGTATACACGACAGGCCTGTCAGGGGCACATCATGAGCACCCCTAGGGGCAGGGGCACCACAGTCCTTCCAGGGGCACCGCAGGCCTGTGAGGGGCACCAGTCAACACAGGCCTGCCAGGGGCACCACAGACCTGCAAGGGGCACCAGAGGTCTGCCAGGAGCACCACCGACCTCGCAGGGGTATCTTGGGCCTGTCAGGGGCCAGGGGCACCACGGGCCTGTCGAGAGGCACTTCAGGCTTTTCAGGGGCACCATAGTCCTCTCCGGGCGCAGGGGTAGCAGGGGCACCAGAGGCCTGCCAGGGGCACTACAGGCCTAGCAAGGGCACCACTGGTCTATCAGGGGCACCACGAGCCTGTCATAGCCAGGCATCTCAGGCTTGTCAAGGGCCAGGGACACCACAGGTCTGTGAGGGGCACCAGCGACCTAGCAGGGGCACCAGTCAACACAGGTCTGCCAGGGGCGCCACAGACCTGCCAGGGGCACCACAGACCTGCCAGGGGCACCAGAGGTCTGCCAGGGGCACAACCGGCCTCGCAGGGGCACCTTGGGCCTGTCAGGGGCACCACGGGCCTGCCGAGGGGCACTTCAGACTTTTCAGGGGCACCAGTCCTCTCCGGGTGCAGGGGTACCAGCGGCCTAGCAAGGGCACCAGAGGCCTGCCAGGGGCACCAGCGGCCTAGCAAGGGCACCAGAGGCCTGCCAGGGGCACCACAGGCCTAACAAGGGCACCACGGGCCTGTCAGGGGCACCTCAGGCTTGTCAGGGCCCAGGGACACCACATTCCTTCCAAGGGCACCGCAAGCCTGTCAGGGGCACCAGAGGCCTGCCAGGGGCACCACAGGCCTAGCAAGGGCACCACTGGCCTGTCAGGGGCACCTCAGGCTTGTCAGGGCCCAGGGGCACCACAGTCCTTCCAGGGGCATTACAAGCCTGTCAGGGGCACCAGAGGCCTAGCAAGGGCACCACAGGCCTGCCATGGACACCACAGGCCTGCCAGGGGCACCACCGCCCTTGCAGGGGCGCCTCAGGCCTGTCAGGGGCACCACGTGCCTACCGGGGACACTTCAGGCTTGTCAGGGGCGTTACAGTCCTGTCAGGGCCCAGGGGCACCAGGCCCGTGGTGTCCCTGCTAGGCCTGTGGTGCCCCTGGCGGTCCTGTGGTGCCCCTGTCAGGACTGTGATACCCCTGATAGGCCGGTGGTGCCCCTGGCAGGTCTTTGGGCCCCCGGGCCTCAAGGGGGGGGGGCCATGACCCATGTGACCCCCCCTTGGATCCGCCCCTGATAGCCAATACTTGCCCCAACATGCATGGGAAGTTTCATCACGATCCATCAACCGATGTCCGTACCACCGGCAGGAAACCTCGGGCGTTGGCACTCAGTTTGTGAAAATCCGGCCGGAGGCTGTTCCCTTTGTGACGTCATAACTCCGTGACCTGACATGACCCGGTCAAATTTTTTTTATCAAAAGATGCGCAAGGTTTGCCCCATAAGGTACCAAAAATTTGGCGGCGCTGCGCGCCGCCGTTTTTGCACTATTTCCGAAAAACCTCAGGGGGGGTTGCACCAGACCCCCCCTACATGGGCGAGGGTTAACCCTCGCCCGCACATGCCATTTTCCCATCCTAGAACGCACATGGGGGGGGGGGGTGGTTGCCACCCCCCCGCGCCATTTCGTTCCTGTTGGAGATAGAGCTTAGCAGTAAAGACCAAAAAGATTCTTTGGGAAGAGACGAATCCAATGATACGATACCCAGTTTTACCTTCTCAGGTCAGTCATTGACCTTCCAGGTCAGGTCAAACTAAAAAATGTTGCTGTTTTGGGTCACCGTTGGATATCAAGTGCGCTGCTTATCAGATTCCGATGACGATGCTGTTTTCTGGTGCCAAGCCAGCTAGAACCTCTTTGTCACACTATCCGACCAGAATTTTGCTGCTGAGGTCATTTCAGGTCAAGTTAGGTCAAGGTCAATTATATGTGTTTGTATGTCTGTGTGTGTCTGTGTGTATACTGATGTGTGCACCGATTGTTTTTGGGTCCATATCACATGAAATCATGATCTGAGAAGCTTTTACCAAAAATGCAGTCAAAAAACTTCACAAAAAGTAAATTCAGCTTGCCTAAAACGCAATTATCTTAGATGACCTAGGTTGACCTTGACCCTGACCTTGACCCCTGTACATCGTCGAACAACATGTTCCATGATAGGTGGGAGGTAAGACTGGCAAAAAAGGCCGAAATCAGGGTGTCAAAAGCTCACAAGGCCCATGGCAAACGCAAGATGTTGAGAATTGGCCATTTGGGTCATGACATGACCTGAAAAACAAGGTCATATCTCCGAAACCAAAAATCACAGAAACTTGAAATTTTCAGTGGACATCAAGAAAGGATAGGCAAGCAGCTATACGAAAAATCAGCCTTCTAGCTCTAAAAATGTTGAGTGCAGAGCAGAAAGACTGCCTGGGGGGGGGGGTGGCAACCACCCCCCCATGTGCGGGCGAGGGTTAACCCTCGCATGTGTAGGGGGGTCCGATGGCCCCCCGCCCCCCCCCCCCATGGTTTTTCGCGAATAACTCGCGTAAAAAGCGGCCGATCGCGACGAAACTTTCAGTACCCTCGTATTGATCAATTTTTGAATTTTACACCTACCCTGAAAATTTCATGACCCTGACCTTTGACCTGTGACCTCTTTTCCGAGACCATGTTTGGCCGGAATCGCGATTCCGCGTATGTCGGCTCGCATTAGCCGCGCGTTTGCAAGCTTTTGGTGGTTTCAAACTTTCAAACATGTGATTTGATGTTGCTCCCATGCATAAGGGTGGGTATCAAGGTCACCTGAAGGTCAGGTCAGGTCATTGACCTTTGGTGACCTCGGGTGACCTCGGTTCACTTTTTCGAGTTTTACATGTTTCTAGGCTAGTTTTTGGAACTGAATTCGAATTTAGCAACCATTTGAACATTTACGAAGTAGTTTTGGTGAATTCGTAACATGTTACAAAGCTGTCAGAGGCGGTTGACACCTACTTATACGAATACCCGGCAGGGCCCCTACCGGTTGACCTGACCTGACCTGACCCGACCTGGTCTAAATGCTTAAAGACATCATCTGTGGTCAAAACTAACACGATATTCGTGATCAGCACCCCGAAAAAAACCCGAAAAACAGCCACACTTAAGTCTTAACCCTCGCCCGCACATGCCATTTTCCCATCCTAGAACGCACATGGGGGGGGGGGGTTGCCACCCCCCCGCGCCATTTCGTTCCTGTTGGAGATAGAGGTTAGCAGTAAAGACCAAAAAGATTTTTTGGGAAGAGACGAATCCAATGATACCCAGTTTTACCTTCTCAGGTCAGTCATTGACCTTCCACGTCAGGTCAAACTAAAAAAATGTTGCTGTTTTGGGTCACCGTTGGATATCAAGTGCGCTGCTTATCAAATACCGATGACGATGCTGTTTTCTGGTGCCAAGCCAGCTAGAACCTCTTTGTCACACTATCCGACCAGAATTTTGCTGCTGAGGTCATTTCAGGTCAAGTTAGGTCAAGGTCAATTATATTTGTTTGTATGTCTGTGTGTGTCTGTGTGTATACTGATGTGTGCACCGATTGTTTTTGGGTCCATATCACATGAAATCATGATCTGA